CCTGAGTTACAAAAGAATAATAAAACCCCCATACTGGTAAGAACTAATAAACATTTTCCTTCATTTCTATAAACAAGAAAAACGGACCAAACAAAAAGGCCCAGGATTGTTCCTGGCCAAGTACTGGTTAACCAGTTTGAAACTATGCTCAAGATTTCTTGAAAACATATGTCTTTCAGGCAAACAATACTGTTAACTTTAAAGTAACATCAATGCTTTGCTTTAAAAATGTGCTTGTTTTCTGTTCAGAGAACAGTAGTGTAAAACTAAACCATCCATGAAGCAGATTCTCACTTCTAATTTTACCCTTTGACAGATCAGTTGCTTAAAAATCCCTTAACAACAAGGGGAAAAAAAAAGTTACAGGGTTCACATTTTAAAGATTGTCAATTGTACAGACCAAATGTTGCTAACCCATGGAAAGATTTACGGGCCACTTCTGTCATGACCTGAAAACACTGGATTCTATTAGCATGAAACAAGTATCTGTATAGTAGTCTACAAGGTTGGTAAGGCATTTCACTGCTTTCTCACACCTTGCTTTTCTCTGACAAAGACAGCTGTGATCACTCAGCAGGTCCTAAAGAGCTAAGTCCCAGAAAAGGAACAGATTTTATATTGCCAGGTGACAAGAATGAACAAATAACATGATCTGGGCAATCACTTAAAATCACATTAGTGCCAATTTCACTACACTTTACATGGGATGATCAAGTTACTTTGAGATTTGAAAATTAAACAACCTAAAACCTATTTGAAGGAACTAAGCAATCCAAGAGAGGGAAGGAAGAAATCCACACTGAGTTGGGCAAAATGAACCTGCTTTACTATTCAGCTACACTGAACAGTAAAGAGCAAAGTGTACTGCAATCAAATGTGCATTTTCATGGATATGCTCTGGTTTTAGCAGGTGGTGAGAGTTTGAATTTATTATTAAGAAACCAAAACATTTCACTTAATTGTTTAACATGCGAGATTTTCATGAGGGAATGAAGGTTAGTTACATTTCCAACAGGGTTTCAAAACTACATTTTGCCTATTCAACTCTAAAAACTAAGCTGAATATATGGCTGAAAGGACTAAAAGACTAATCAAAATAACAGAAGTCAGAAAACAACAGTACAGCATCTAAAAATGGGTAATTCACACACTTTTGACATTTGTGTCTTGCATAGACAAATACTTAACTCATTTTTTTTCCCCCAAGACAACTCAGCTTCAGAAAATAAAACTTAATTCAAGTTTACAATTAAATGCACGTGTTCCAATTTTTCAAAATACCAGGGTGTTCTGTTTTTTTGTTTAAATGCTACAAGACTAATGGTTTTATGAAACTATCATCCATTGGAGAAAGGCTTTATTTCATTGTTTGGGCTGTCAAGTTCATAAAGACAGGAAGGTGAACTGCCTTCTAATTCTTCCAGAAACAAACAGATACATTATTCATGGATTAAATCTTCGTGGCCCTACTCCACTGGAATATCCATAAACCTGAAGCACGGGAACTGGACATATTCTGAACATCAAAATGATAAGTAGTGCCCACAGGCCAATATGAATTCTTGACCTCCAAAGCCCTTTGTCCATACCCTGGTCTCCACTGGAAGAAACCCTAGGTATGCAGGCAAGATAAAACTGGAGGGCTCTGCAAAAGGTTCCTAATAGTGATCACGGACCAGAACAAAGAACCAGTTCTCTTGCAGGTAAATGCAGCCTGACATGCAGCCTTATAGAGTTTCCCCACGGTTGGCAGGACTCTGCCTTGACCCAATATCCAGATCCAGGAAAACTCTCTGCAGAGCCAGAGCCACACCTGTCAATTCTAAATGTTTCCCAACATGCTTATTTTTCTTTGGAACAATCATTTAAAAATATATCCTGATTGATCTGGAATTGATTTACTAAAATGCAGTATTTCCAAAGTTGAAAAACAAGAGGAAATTGCCTTGCCTGTTACAGAGATCTTGGAAAAACTGGACTGAGAACCTTGTTTTGAGTTAATCTAGATTACATTGAAAAAGAATTGGAAGCTTCAAAAATCATAACTGCAGAAGAATTAAATTTATTTTAAAAACAAATCAGTTCTATTTCATATGAATATGACTTTAATTGGAGGCAGGGAGGAATTATACATGGGTTTAAAGTTAGGCCCTCCTATAAAGACTTTTAAACTGCTGGAAATATGTACCTTTCCTGAATAGTGATGCTTTGCTTAAACCACCAATATTTCTTGCACATCAGAAAATGAAGGACACATTTTTTTTAACTGTGAAAAGAACAAGTACTTCTGTAAAGTTCACACCCACTACCGAATTCTAACTGAACTAAAAGATAAGGTTTGAGTTCCGTATGTTAAAGCAATTCCTTTGATTACAGTGGTAAAGCCTTTTCAGTTTTAGGAATCGTGTCCGCATGTTTTTAAGTTTCTAATTTGACAGTAAAACTATTCCATATTCCCCCTTTCACAGTAAATTCTGTCAACTTCACTTTCTATGTATTGATAAACTAACTGAAGACAAGTTTGCAAATGTTTCAGAAGCATAAAACATCTGCTGCGTGTAACGTGGGGGGAATAAAAAAAGAGCTAATAACAGTTTCTTTCTGCAAGATAAACTTTCAGAAATTTGCAAACCCTGATATCTGGTTGTTTCCAATCGAAATTCAAGTGACACATAAACTACGTACTCCTGAACCCTAATCCAGCAGCAGTACAGATACCAAATTGTTCTAATACATTCCCTTCTATCAAATCTCAGTTCTCATAGTTTTGAAGTGCAGGCAAATGCCCACTGCCACATTACCTCCAAACCACAGAAGTTTTGTCCATTTTGGTTTACCCTTCCCTTGTCTGCTGGCTACTTGCTACCACAACACATGGCTGTGTAGCTGAGCTGCTTCCTTGAAGGCTGGGGAAAGTTCTGTTGGTAGACCTGAGGCAGCAGCAAATGGTCAGGGAGGGGAAAGGAGAGAGTGAGAAATAGCCTGTTCTTCCAGCAAAGGTTGGTTTGGAAAAACACATTTTTATCCATAGGCCTGTACACACTGAGAAGTGGACTGTACATCTGCCTACGTGCTAGAGGTACAAGGATTAATGCAATATTAAGCATCAACAAGTGTAGCTGAGTAAAAACCCCAAACCAATCAACAAATATACTCCATTGTGTAATGGAAACTGTGGGGGTGATGAAGCACTTATGGAGTTAAATCAAAAACAACTAGAAAGAAAAATACAGAATCTCTAAGCTCTAATCATCTTGGGCATCCTCTGTAGGAGCAGTAGGTTGAATGTTTCCAAAGGAGCATGATTTGTACATAGTATCTGTCTTTTTAAACATTTTGAGGTCAAGCCGGATTTGACAATAGCCTTTGAGATAGTTATGCTATGTCGAAGCCTTCCTAATTACAGTTTTCATCATTCATTTACTATATTCTTTAACAAACATGTCACGTTAATGGCAAAGCAGAGAAGTTAGAAGAAATCAAATTCTTTAGAAATTACCACTCCAGCTGGAGGAGATCGTTACAGCATTTGAACTAAGAAGTAAGATTCTCAGCCAGGAATCAGTGAAAACCATAGCAGATACATCACTTGGGTCGAATAATACCCAACACAAATTATTCAAAATAGCTACTAGCCACTGAAAACTACTACTACTCTCCATGTAGGTATGCCAATGCTACTGACATTTCTTTTTTAAGTTTTCTTCATACCAACTTACACTTGTCTTGGAAGACAATCTTTAAAGACCAGCTTCCAACCATTTAAGCATGTTAAATAGTACATGCATTAATCCTACTGAAATCAATGGGACCTAAGCACATGCCTGAGTGTTTCGTGAAGCAGAAATTAAGTATTCAAGTAAATATTTGCATCTGCCAAAGGACTTTGTTCAAATACAATGTCTAAAGATTCTAAAAGCTATCATCTTTTTCCCTGTCATGTGAGAAATGTAACTAGATTTGGTCTAAATCAGAAGGAAGCTCTGGCTTTGATCTAACCCAACAGTGTGATGAATGGACAGGGGGAAAAAAGAGGACATTGATCATACCATGAGACTCTTGGAGTCTGATATTTGTACTTAACAACAGGAAATTCAAAGTTCCAAAAGTGTTCATGGATAGACAGATTCCAAACTTTGGGAAAAAAAGAAATTAACTGATACCACACACAAAAAAAAACCCACAAAACCCAAACAAACAAAGAAAAAAACCAAAAAACCCAAAAAAAGTATTTTAATCACTAGCTTTTAGTTTTTAAATGACACACGAGGCTTTCCTACTCTAATAAAGCCTGCTGTATATTCTGGTAGTAACCTTCATATTTGAAAAAATTTTATATAAATCCTTAAGTTAATATTTCTTTTTGTATTAGGGGAAAATATTTCAAATGCAATAAAATAGCAGAGTGATTGCAGAATTCATGACTTTAGAGTAGGCACCTTTTCATTTTTCAGATTCAGATGTACAAACTATAAACTGTTAAATTTCTCTAAAACTGGAAAAGTTGTAGGTATTTGAATTTACTTACCTGAATACTCATTTAGCAAATATCTGCAGATACAAGCCTAGATACAGACTTAATGCAATTTGAGTATTAGTTTACACATAATATAAATCAATGTTTGACAATATCAAAATCCCATCAAACAGTGGGGCCTTCTTATGCTATTATCAAATATAGTATATCATTGTGGGATAGCTGAGAACCATAGAATGCTAGCATAAGCTCGTTTATTAAATTGGGTCAGTTTTCAGACCTTCCAAATAGGAATACTAAACATTTATTTTTCCCCTCTGGAAATTTGTTTTTTTACCTCCTGCTTAATACAGTCGTCATCCCAATTCCTAGTGAATTTATAAAAATATTTTTTTTATCCAATAACCCCGCCAAGGTAAAAATAGGAGTTTTCATAGCAAATGATAAACAGGCTCACGGACTATGAGAGAAACTAAACTTATTTAAATTGCCATACATTCGCTACTGAATCACACATCAACATTTTCTTTTTATGTGTGTTGCTGTCCACCTCAGACTAGCAGTTTTTAAGGTGCAGAAGCATCTTTCAAATATATGCATCTAACTTAACAATCAAGTTCCACACACTAGTGTCACATGCTTTAAACTTACATCACCTGCCCATCAAAAGTTGTGTTAAATAACAGCACTAATTGAAACTGCATTATTCTTTAGAAATGGCAGCACTTTCAATTCATAGAACAAAGGGGTGCTTATGTGGTTCTTTATATTACTAGATATAATTTTATGAAGGAAAAGAAATGGAAAAAAAAAAACCCCAAACAAAACAAAACACATTTGAAAGAAGTTGCTGCACCTGCAAAAACACTCTTTAAGCTTACTATGAAATACAAAAAAGTGCACCCTTCTATATCTACATATAAAACATATTAGAAATAAAACTTGTGTAAAATGTTTGCTGTGCAAACTATAAAAACAGTCAGTCAGTCAGTTCATTCTTTTTCCTAAAGATTTTGTCACACTCTCTTGCTTCCTACTGCAGAGAATCGCTGTTATCCAAGACCAGCCCACTGATGTTTGTTGTTGAGAGATCTCCTCCATCATCTTCACCGCTGTCTACAGACTCATCCTCACTTTGCCCTGCCATCATAACCTGTTGAACAGCCAAAGTAGCACCATCGGATGACAAAGACTGAAGACTGTCTACATTCATGTTGACTGGAGCTGTAATTGTTACAACAGCACCTGGAGAAGCACAATTGCAGTACTTTAGTATCTTTTTTTGGTTTCCAATTCTAACTAATACATATTTACATATAATGGATTTTGTTTCTAATCAACAGGAAGAAAATCTAAGGAACTAAATGAAAATAAGGCTATATAAGTTGTCAAACACTTAAATATCAGGAAATCCCAGAATAAAGTTGGCTAGGAATAGCTGTGTTATCGACACCCATTACAACAATTCTCCAATCAAGTCATCACAAGACCATTTCTACAAAGTATTCCAGCTTAATTCACTACAGAAAAATGCAAGAGTTCATAGAGATTCACGGTGACTTAACCAGCACAGGCTGAAAGAAAAGTTACTACAAACTGCAAAGGAACAAAGCAGCAGACAGCAGGACAGAAAGGGTGGTCTTAAGTTTAAAGCAGTTATTTATCTTTTTTTTAAATTGAGTCTATTTGATCTGATGCTAAGGAAGTTACTTCAGGCAAAGTCTTTGTTACATTTCTCTGCTTCTCAGTGTTCAACTTGAAACATGAGGCATATATAGAATTGCAGATGCTTAGTCCCTCTACCAACAGTGAAAGGAATATGAACAGGATGGGGAGTCATGAAACTGAAACTGCAGTCCCATACTGCTAATCAAACAGAATGCTACTGATGTGCACACACATACTGAGAGAGTTTAGTTGTCCATCTAACCTTTGTTTCATAATTTTTGAAACAAAAGCAATTGTCTCTTCACATAAATTGTAATAAAATACCCCTCCAAAACACAGAAACTTTTTAAAGAGGTAAAAATGGACACATTTGTTATGTTTTTCCAGATTAAAAACATATCTATACCAAAATATCAAGAAGTTTCCTTCTCCTCAAGGGCATCAAACCCTTCATTTCTGTTTTACAAAGAAATTAACTTCATTATCTGTGGTTTAGCCAGTTCTCCTTACCATCTGACATTGTAAGCTCGTTAGATTGCTGCTGAGCAACTCCTGAGGCAATGGAGTCAGGCCAGAACCTCTGAACTGGTCGGTTCTGAGCCGTTTTCTTCTTTGTTTTTGGAGTTTCAGAACAACTGGAATCCAGCATTGGCTGAAGAATTCGCCTTCTAGCATTGATAAACCTAAACACAACCAAAGGCAAGCAGATTCATGAAGTGTGCAGGAGGGGTGGGGGAGGAACACAAAAATCTTTCTACCATGTAAAACTGCTCCTAGAACACTGGTATCTTTTGATTTTTGGTGAACTAGCTAAGAAAGTACTTTTATCGTTTTGCTGCTAGCAGCAATTTTTCCCCTACCTCAGAAGGGGAAATTCTCTAGACAGCATAACAGATGTGTATTTCAAGTCATTATTAAAAACTAAGCACCAGAAAACTTGCTGACAGCACAGCTCAGAAAGCTGATACTCCTCTCATTTAGAGTTCACCTAAAACGTAGCCCCTGCCTAACCTAGTTTGTTTGGTCTGGTTTCATTTACCTTCTTAAGCTCCTACATTACTTGTTTTATAGGCTTCCTGGCTTTCCAAGGCCTGATTCCTGATCCAGGAAACAACAGCAAACACTTTTCAGATCTTTCCCAATTCCTTTTCGTTCCCTGTTTTTCACTTGTTTACTTTAGCATGCTATTTGCTGCCCTTCCGCTTTCTGCTAGTGAAGAAGAACACACTTAAACCATGTCTCACTTAGCTACCAGCAGTTAAGTGAATCAATTCCAATGTAGCTAGCTGTGCCAAGCTGCTGTGACTGATGATAGCATCGCTTACTAAATCTGACAAAACACATCCAGGACCCATCTTTACCTCCAGTGGAAGGAAGTAAGGTGCAGCTAGCAGATCCACATGATGCAATGCAATGCTTTGTAGACATACTAGTTGGATCCCAGTACCAATAAAGCACCATTACTACTGTGTCACAGGGGCATAGTTATACTGTTTCACTTCTGGAACCAGTGTATTGCCACTACCTTGAGTATTTCTCTGCAGGCATACAGCCAGCATCGTCTTTGAAATCCGAGGAAGATCCCTGTTGGATTTAGCTGCAGTAATTTTAGGAACCAATACCACAAGCAGAATAGGAGGTATGTTGGCACCCTTGATTCTCTTTTCTTCAGGGCAAGTATATTATCTAAAACCTCTAGAGAGACATGCTACAACACAGTGAACCATGAACTAGAGTAGTTGGGGTAGTGACATTCTCCATTTGGACATCACTGCTCAGAGAACAGCATCCTTCTACTGAAGAGCAGAATGAGTATCTGTGGACAGTAACTTTTTTAACATTTGCAACCATGATTTCCAGAGAATATTTTTCAGAGCTTTAGGTCACTAGATGCCTTTAAACTTCAATTTCTTTACTTGCAGAAGAGACATGAGAGTACTCTTTCATCAATAGAAAAGAACGTAAATCCTTAATGTCGCAAAGTTTTCTGGAGTCCTTGTATAATCTAAATGGCAGAAGTTGTTATTATACATAACTATAAAAATAATATGCTTGTGTATAAGTGCATAATTCTTGTATTTTTATACGTATTTTGGAACATACGTAGAACAGTAAGTTCAAGTCCACATGTCCAAATTACACTCTTAACTACTTCTCTATGTTGCAAGCATGTGGAGACAATGACAGACCTTAAGTAAGAGATTCTGCGCTTACCAGTTGTTAACCTGGAGTAGTGTCAGATTTGTTTGTGCTGCAATCTGTTTCTTCTCATCCTCTGTTGGATATGGATGCTGAAAAGGACCAAAAAAAAAAAAAAAAAAAGAAAAAAGAAACGAAGGAAGAAAAAGAAAAGGCATAAGCTTGTTTCAACTCTTCAGCAAAAACGACTCCCTTATTACAACTGATTAAAGCTGCTAGATTAAGACCACCTGACTCATTAAAAACCAACCTTTAGAAACCTGTCAAACTTTTATAGATAAAGATAATTTAACAAAGAGCACTTTACTACACAAAGCTGATTTTATCCTTGAAAGTGATACCATTAAATTGCCGATGTGTAATTCAGAATAAAAAGCTCCTCATGGCCGACAGTCTTTATTAAACAGCGTGATCCCCAGGCAACACAGCATGTGATAAGATCTGATTAGTTATGCTGTCTAAAGGCAACATCGTATGAGAGTACTGACAAGCATTTTCTAGTTAAATAAAGCTGCTCTGAACTAAACAGATGAAGAGCATATGTAATGCAAGAACCGTACATGCAGTTCCCCTCTATCATTTGTCTGTTGTAAAATATTTGTAAAAGACAAAATATCAATCAACAAAACACTGTGATATAACTTGAGACCTATTTATCCTTTCAGGGATACGCAATGGAAAGACACTCTATAAAAAGCACGCTTGGTACAACTTAGAAGGATTGTTGGAAAGGAGATAAAGCCAGAAATTTTGACATTCTCCTCAAAAAAATGAAACAAACCACAAAACACAGATGGAACTATTTTTCCTTGTGCCATGAGCCAGGGTGAAGAGATCATTAAGTTGTCAACGTAATGAAATGAAGAAAGATCCTTTTTAACAATGTTTATTAAGATGATGAGGTACAAATGTAACATACTTATTAGAACAATAATAAAATCAACTCCAAATGACTTCAGGGAAAACTGAACTGAGATTACGCAAATGACACCAGAATAAATTCACCTTCTTTATGATGCAAAATCATAACAGACCACATAAAAGTTACATAAAAACCTGTGACTCCTGATCATGTTCAGTTCTTACCCCTATGTGCTGAAAAAGCCAAGATCTCATCACATTTGTGGCGTGCTTGGGAAGAACTCCTCTTTTATTTTTTGATGAGCCATCATCTTGATGCAAGATGCCTAGATCTTGGTTTAATTGCAACTGAAGCTGCACATACAATTTTAGAAGAAATAAAGCAGTTAACACAGTAATAGCAGTATTCTGTATCAATGTATGAATAACTCATAGAAGGAATGAAAAGAAATCAGGCTTGATGCATGCTGATTATAAAAAGCTACTTTATTTGCTAGGGAAGACTTACAAATAGTAGCTCTCCTACAGCAGCATTCCAAAATATCTTTATCCAGGGAGAATGCTGTATCAGATTTCCATGGTTTTCACATGTCATGTAACTTCTGTTTTAAGAAGTATAGCTGTTATCAGGTTATGTCTACGATCTTACTATGATACCAAATGTCGGTTTACTATAATTTATAATAAAATCCACCTATGTAGCACAACAGGTTAATGATCTTCTGTACTTATCTACACTACCCTAGGGATTGCCTTGTCACCCTATGCAGTCACTTGCACATGTGATGAGCAACTGAAAAACACAATACTGAATATATTTACTGTGTGCAAATACTAACAACGATGGACGCTGTAAAATAGTACTGATTTAAGACTTAAAGTAGAATTAATTATTATGCTAGAGTTACAAACTAAGATGTTGAAGAGTCTTCTAAAGAAATGCACATAAATCCTCAAAGAGCAAGAAGATATATATGGTAGAACCCCCAATACATTTTATAATGCTCTTACTATTTTCCTAAAGGTTCCTATTTCTTTCTCATTTTTGCTTTCTTTTTCACTTCCTATGGGTACATCAAATCATTTGCATATCAGTTATCTGAACATTAGGGATACATCATTAATGCTTATGCAGAGATAACAAGAAAGAGTAAATAAATTGCATAGAAGATTATATTTCAGACAATTATAATGGAAAATAAATCTAAACCAGTTTCTTCAGGCAATACAGAGCAATTTTTTCAAGCCTGTCATTACGTCTATGTGTTGAACGAAACAAATTTTAAACAAGGTTTAAGCTATCAAATTACAACAAATATTTGGAACATACTTTTTTTTTTCCAAAATAATGTTTTACATTTTAAATACTCTGCTTGTGTATGAAGGTTTTATAATGAACTCTGAATAGCTCTTCCCCTACCTCCACAGCATTCTGAAACACTGAAAAAGAATTTCAAAGATTTCCTATGGGTGACAAGGAAAACAGGTTTAAACCCGTAGGTGGGTTTGGAGACTCCTACTAACATCAAGAGTAGCCACAGATATATATAAGGTCAAGAACATTTGCTGTTTATAGGCTATAGGAATTATCTTCCCGTTAATTTTTTTTTTTAATTTTTCTATTGAGGAATAAAAAGCATTTTTCTTCAAAACCACTTCAGTCTAGGATAGTAATTTTACACATTCCTTTCTGAAAGGCATCTGAAGGACAGAATTCAAGGGAAGAATATAGGCAAGTACATATATGCTACTGCCAATGAAAAGAAGGCAAGGATATTCTAAGCATACTTTTTTTGGTGGAAGGTCAGAATAAGGAAAACGAGAAGACAGAGTCAGTGATTACCAACAGATTTTATACTGTGGAAATGGTAGCTCCTCATTCACACTTTTAATTGACTCCAGATTCCTGGAAGATTTATTTACCAGTTCCTGCTCCAAGAGAAAGCTATCAAGGTTTTCTGTAACTGAAGATGGTCTACTTTTCATGTTTCCTTTTCCTTAGTTATTTCTTCAAGCACTCCAGATCCAACCCTTAAGAGCCTCCCCAAAAAAGAGTGCTGGCCATTAGCTTTTAGGATATGATACAACAAGCCCAGTAGAAGTATCTCCTATAGTCTCATCTGAGATTTTTGAAGGTTTTATGGCAAAATGCTTCTCAGCATAAATAAATTCCAAAATACATACAGTTTCACAGTACTGGTGGTTGCCATCATGTTAAAAAGTCAAATTTCAGACAACAACAGCACCACACTGTTATGCAACACAGTGAAACTATCCAGCCATAAACCTAGCTCAACAATTATAGAAGTTTTAATCACTGAAAAAAGTGTCTCTCTAATTCGGGGGGGGGTGGTGGTGGTGTTTAGTTTGGGGAGGATGTTTGTTGGGTTTGGGGGTTTTTAGTAATTTTTTTTCCTTTTTTTTTTTTTTTTTTTAAATCCACATACACTTTTTACTGCCATCAGTAAAAAAAAGATACTTAACAGGTAGGAACTGTGATGACCTGTCACAGTAAGGCAGATCTGTCTGGGACTTTATGCCACCTTATACAACTTCTAATTCTTACGGCAGCGCTTGCATTAATTCTACATTAGTTACTATGTGTGTGTACACAGAGCTCATTCTGACAGTGTGTTAAATTTAAACCAAACCTCTTAAAACCAGTGAGATTTATTTGAATCCAGAATAGTATTCTGTGAAAGCACATGAAACAAACCTGAGAGTTCTGGATCCGAATAGTCCCAGGTGACAGTGCTTGTGTCACCACTTGACCTTGTGGAGTGACCACAGTGACTGGCTGGTACACTGTCCCTCCTTAATGCAAAACAGCGACAAAGATTATAGGAAAGTAAAAGCCCTTCAAATGTTATTCTCTTTAAACACACAGACACACCAGCACCGCAGACAATACAACAGTTTGATAATATATCAACTATTACCTTCTAGTAAGCAGGTAAGATATGCTTTTTGCTACACTACATTTTTAAATATGCACAAAAATCTGCACAAAATTTCATTATGTTTTCTTGCATTTTAGGCACTCTGAATCCATTTTCGAAGGAAAATGCCATGAGTATGGCTACAAAATAGTTCATAGTTTTGTTTTAGCTGAGCTAACTCTTCAGCCAACATAAGCCTCAACATCAATACCACACCTACATGTGTCAAGTGGTTAGAGTGGTCAGCTGGGTGACACCTCGATACTCAGGTCAACCAAGGTGACAGAAGCTTGGTGAATGCATAAAGGGTCCTGGACACCAAAGCCACAAAGCACATATTGTGTCTCAGGATAATATCTCTCCAAGTATATGCTATAGGAGTAGACTGCACTGCTTTGTTCCATTTGTAGTCAAGGTTTTTCTCTTTTTCTATTTTATCTTGTTTCTAAGCTCAGAAGCAAGATAAAACATTTCAGTTCAAACGTCATCTCCATACAATAGTAAAACAACTTGGACATCCAGGATTTCACAGACTTGTAGGTGTGGTTCCAAATTCCACAGGGCATATGACAGCTAACAAGTGCAGTATTTTAGGTAGAGCATGTTTTTGTCAAACAGAATTCTCTTTTTTTTTGGAAGGAGAACAAAAAAAAAAAGAAATAAAAAAAGAGTAAATGACTCCAGTCTCTGAAATGCCTTTTAACAAAAGTAGTGTTGCACAGAAAGATCTCTTAATATTATATTAGCACACATATAAATTAAACAAACATTCAGAAACATTAAGCAACTTAACTGTGTTATAACAACTTCGTAGGTATTAAAGTAAAAACACATTTTTAAAGTATTTGTGTGATTTTTGTAGCAACTATAAAAGAAAAATTAAGAGCAATGTGCCAGTTTTGCTTTACTCTGTCATACCTGCTACTGTTGCCATAGTTACGTTTCCCTGCTGCAATGCTGATGCTGGCACCATAATCCCTTGGGGACTGAGTGTGCCTGCAATGGCACTTGGAATTTGCTAGAAAAATAAAACAATTAATTGCTAGCATTTTTTTCTCTTTTTTTTTTGGGGGGGGGGGGAGATAAAGCATGCTTGTGTAATTTTGGCTGTAAAAATACATTTGGTGTTTAATCACAGGATTAACTTCAAAGAAAAGACTTTCATTAGAGGTTCATCATTACCTCCATTAATTTCTCATTATCACCAACCATCACCTTAGCAAACCCTCAAGAAAGCAACTGTTAGAAAAGACGTAAAACTAGCTTGGAGAAATTTTAGCAGAGAAATGATTCTAGGTATACAGATACTAAGAGAAATGGTTTCCAAAGGTACAAGGGAAAAGGGACAGATGAAATGAATCCTTGATGTTTTTATTACAAGCATCAAAGGTTTAGTATTTTAGTTATTACCTTAATTCCTGCAATTTCAAAATAACCTGTTAAGTATTCAAGTTGCCCAATATGTTTTATTCTGCTCAGCATAGTTCTTACTCAATCATGACTATGCAAACTATTATATATTCCTTAATATTGAATAATCTCTATTGTTACCAAATGGGAAATTCAGTTCCTCCCACCTCTATAGAAGACTGTAACAGATACACAAAAATCGTCTTCTAAAAAAGTTGCTTTTGTCTGATTTTAGACTCTCCTTTCCACACTTCCAGACACCAAAACCTAAGTAAGGAGTCCAGACAGTGCAGATTAAGTCACTGAGGCTTTTCAGGATACACAGCATGAAACGCATTAGCAAGTCAGAGAACAGTCATCCCTTAAGACTAGATATGTAGTAGGCACCCTGATGACAGGGCTTACTTTCCAGCATCCAACAGCAGAAGCATCAACCATAACATACTAACTGCTGTTAATTAGCTGTTGTCAATTTACTACAAAAGATGCAATTGGTTATTGCATTTAGGTAATGTCAACAACTAGGGTACGCATGTAAAAAAATGGGTACTGTTCATAACTGCAGTTACCCCAGGTGATATGCAATGATGTACCTCTACTATTGCAGCTACAACCCATCAGACATTGTCTATTTGTTCCAGAATACAGATGGTGCATAAAAAGCATCAGTCACCTCAATATTTTAATGAAGCAGACTAGACTAAGGAGACCTTCTTAACAAGCAATCTTTTTTCTTCTCCTTTGTTTATCCTGTTTCCTAGCTTTCTTCCAACAAAACAGAAAATCCAGGCTATTCTGAGTATTTCCATTTGCTGAACTGAGAGAAAATCATAAAAGGAAGACAGACCAAAAAAGTGACTCCATGCTTTGGCACATTTCAATAAATTTGTCCATCAGGCAGTGGCACACAAGGGTGCACAAGGAAAAATCACAGCTCTTTCTAGTCCTAATAACCAACTTTGAGAAAGCAAAAGAAACAGCAGAACCTCTGTTTGCAAACTAGTAGCAACAGAAGCGTAGTTATAACTTCCTAAGGAAATCTGAGCAAAAATACACATAACTGTTTGAAACATACCTGAGATTGCACAGGTGAATAAGGACTTCCAGGCTCTCCACTTAATAGAGTTTCGCTGTTCATTTTTGTCTTCAGGCAGGCAATGTAACGACTACAGAAATCCTTGCAGAGTTCATTAACCTTTTCTAGCTCAAGCAGATGGATACGTAGAACTTGGATTGCTTTTACCATCTAGGGAGAGAAGTGGGAAAAAAAAAAAAAGTAGAAAAAACCCCAACTGTTATTTAAAAAAAAAATTAATGTGGATTTAAGCAAATACTACTTTCCAGTAACAAAGACTATCCAATTAAAGCAATATTACTAATTGCTAAATGCTGACTAGAGTTCCCTAGCTCTGACCATTATGCTCCTGAAACGTGAAAGGATCATGTTTACATACAAAACCTGTATCCTTCCACTGCGTAAGTAAATTACTGTAAACAGGAAACAAAACACAACAACAATGTAACCTTTGTCTCTGTCACACTTGACTCATTAGGCAGACAGAGCATAGTTAAGGTGCACAAAGGTGTACATGGAGCACAAAATGAGCCTGCATGTCCACGTGATCTTTATCCCCATCATACAACTCTGGGTCATACACCACACAAGACTGAAAGTGAAGGTAAGTAATCCCATCCACACATACTATTTGGAAAGCATGGCTGAAACAGGTTTGGTAGGCAACAGTCGTCTCGAGCCTCGTATCAGAAATATCAGGTTCAGCTCCACATTACACCCTGACCCAAGAAAACCAAAAGCATACAGAAGAATCTGAGATACACTGAGAAGATCCCTTCCAGAATTTAGCATAAATATGTCACACAGATTGCTAGGGAGGCTAAAGGCCTACCATCTCACCTATAATAAAAACATAGTAATTTTTATTTTTATACAAAATTAGAATAAAGAGGTCCCAAAGTTTGTCACATTGTCCAAAAAGCTTGAAGTAATCAAACAGTTCTTTGGTCCTAGAGCTCTGAAGTTCCTCTGCAATTGTATGTCAAAGATTAACAACTCTGGGGTCAAATCTTGTAAAGAAAGGAGACTTTCTGAAACACAAACCATTAAATACAAAGCACTAAACCCAGTAACAAATCCATGTTTAAACAAAAATTGAAGTACAGGAGATAGGCACACGATGAGAATACTTATGATTCTTCTGTGAGAAAAACTCATAAGCTTGGATAGCTAATGGTATTACATACTGCATAAAAATAGCTTAGGTGATTGTAAGGGTCATGGCAGAAGATCAGCAGCTAAAACCAAATCCAGATGGTCTAAATTTTCATGAAGCAGTAGGAAATCCAGGACATTCAAATATGTACATAACACATTGGCAAAGTAATTATTTTTTATACAGCATGCTATCCCCAACATTTACTTGCTATGCTAGATCTCCAAGAAAAATATCCTTCAGTTTAATGAAACTGAACAGATTTTAATTTTGAAACACAGTGCAGAGCTTGCCTTTAGCATTATTTGGAAAAATTTGTCCTATGTGAAGGGCCAGAGCACTAAATCCAATGACTAGAAATGATAGCTTACTAAGCAATGCACTTATTACATTTCTTACTAAAGAAGGCAATTGGGAGCTGAAGGTGCCTGTGTTCAAAGCACATGAAGGAGATCAAGGCAGGCAAACATCTTGGTGTGCTCCCTTCTCCACCATGATGACTTTAGTTTTCATTGTGACAGATCTTTTCCCAGTTTTTTCCAGCAGAAGGTATTCCAGTAGTACTGCATTCATCCAGTGTAGACAATTGTATGTTAAAATGAACAAGAGTAAAAAAAAAAAAAAAAAAAAAAAGAAGTGCTAAAAAAAAGGGAAAGAAATCTAACCCTCTTATCCCTTCTTAGGGATAAAAAGAAAAAAAATAAACCAACATATATCTTCATAAGCACAGCTGCAGAAAAATCTGAGCTGGAGACTGGAGGCAGTTGATTCAAATTAAAATCTGGTAACTCATACAACCTATGACACCAAAAGTCTTCTAAATAGTAAGTGCAATGGCCTAGCACTGAGGTATATCTTCTACAATAGCCCTCAGCAGTGATGACTGTTTAAACTGTGTATAAGTACCTTAAACATAACCAAGTTAAACTCAGCAAATTTAACTAGGTTTTAACACAAAACAAAAAGGACATCTATGTTTAAAGATACTCTGCCTGTGTTTCAAAGACAAAAAAGTTTAAATTATAAAATTCATCATGTGTGGCACACCAACAAAGAGCACATACATTAGTGAATGCCTTAAACATTCAGCCTCAACTGAGGTAGCAGAAAAATATGCCTTTGGGCACATAGTATTTGACCATATTACTGATTAGTTTTGCTCAGTCAGGACGGTTTTTTTTTCCCCCTCTTAAACCAGAACCCATATTTATACTATCAATTTATCAGCATTTGTTCAGAGGAAAAATAAAAGTCCTTTCTTCAGCTTAGATTTAGTTTCAAATTGATGGTTGGTACTTCGAGTGAAAATTGAATGAAAGTCAAAACTAACCATAATCCAAGAATTAGTAACACTACCCAGGTTTCTGCAGAGCCACACACAGTCACACTACTCTTTCAGGAAGCTGCGCTACTGTGGTTAGGAAGGCAAACAAAACTTTGTAAATATGCCATACCTGTCACCAGGACTTATTTACTCATTTACAGCTATGCTAATTGTGGCCATATGGCTCCTGCTCTCTTGCAGCATGGGTGGACCAAACTTGGTTGTCAGAAGTTTACTTTTCCCTTGAAATATATTAAAAAAAAAAACAAACCCAAACAAATAAACAAAAAAAAGCACCCCCCCCAAAAAAAAACACCCCAAAAAACCCCCAACACCCCAAACCCAAAAATTCCTGATAAAATTATCCTTGTTGAACAAAGGTAATACAAATAAATGTTTCCAGACAGATCACAGCAGCAGTAATATTTCATTCCTATGGTCTTAAATTTCAAACCTTAAAAATCTACAACAACCATGAACAAATCTGCAACAGAACAATGAATTTTTATAACAAAACTGATTCAGCCTTGTCAGCTGTAGAAATAATCCTGGAGCATCATTTCCAGAGCAATGCATAAAGACAGAGTAACCATGATATATACGTATACTGTTAAAACTGTTCTATTTAAATAAAGGTAATAGTAAACTATTTAAGAGAAAAAATAAAAAAGTTACTGAAAAACTTTCAGTTCTTACTAAAATTGCTATCCAGAGCATAATCTCATATAAATTTATCATGTATTAATTTTGGAGACATCTTTAGCCCTAAAAATGCTTTAGATTGTGCCTGCATCCTGTCTTTTCAGTGCCTCAAGCACAGGGTGCAAAGGGCACAGAACACACTATGCACTTGGTCATAACCCCCGGATCACCTTTGTTTATTTAAAACATATACCCACAATTTTTTTTACAGATTTCAGGGCACATAACACAAGCACATAGGAAATACAGATGGAGATAAGATACATGAAAGAATCTCCATATACTGACAACTAATCTTCTCACTCAAACGGCTTCTCATTTGAAAAAAACAAAACAAAAAAAAAAAACCAACAAAAAAACCATGTACAACACACACACACACAAAAACAAACCAAAAAGCACCCCAGTTAAAATATGTACATTCACAACTACCTTACATTCCTGAGCAAATCCTTCTGAGGAAATTTAGGTCTTCAAGGGAAGAACACAAATTCTGGGGGAGGGGTATTTTGTTTTCATTTGATAGATCCTCTATTTTGGGTGCACAGCTATGAGGCATTGCTAGGAAAAGTATGATTAGAGGTTTATGAGACAGTTCTGCACATTACAATAGTAAGAACACTTCTCAGCAATGCAAAAGCATAGCTTGTTCAGTGAAGAATATCCAAATGACATCAGCTGGCCTCATCATCACTAACACTTTTCCTGACAGAACTAAAAATTCAACAGGATAGTCTTTGAGGGTACTGAACCAAAAATCCTTACCCCAAACGAAACAAAAAACTCAGGGGTCTTCAAAAAAGGCAGTGTCCTGTTCAAATACAAAAGTGAAAGTGTATTTAACACCCCTTGTTTTGTATTGTTTCCTGACTTGATAAAGCCATAAGCTATATGCTCTGACTTCACAGCTGGCCCTACTTTGTGTAGGAGTTTGGACCACTGCTCTTGAGCTTGTAATCTAACCCAAAATCATGCTATGGCCCTATGAATGTGGGAAAACGTAAAAAGCCACCTCTATACGGAAAGAGTTTACTCTGAACAGAAACTCTGAACAGAAGCTCTATAAGAGATAGGAACCATCCTGAGGCACCATGATGTTTCTGCAGTGGCTAGGTTAACAGTAAGCAACAAGGAAGTGTTATGTACTGAAAGACATTACGTAATTCGTGAAAGCTCTAAAAGTTATCTGCAAACACTCATGCTGAACAACTTCTTAGACATAGAGGAACCTGTCTGTGTAATTCCTAAGCACAAAAGGATACTAATGGAGAGCAAAGAGAAGTTGGTTCACTGGTTCATTCCAAGATCTGTTTTATTTGTGAAAATGAGATAGAGACGTCAAAGGGTAAGGAGCTTCAACAGATGATACTCCATATTATGGGGCTACAGCTGAGCATGCTTCCAGGAAGAAGCATGTTAAGAACCAACATCTGGTTCTTAACAGCAAACATCTCTCTTCTGGTACTGATGCTTGATATAAGGACTAAGCTGGATGCAACGTTACAATCCAAAAAGATATGGAGGAAGTAAAAGCTCAGAGGAAGGAAGTATGTTTCCAATCTAATAAACAAAACCTTAAAAATCTACAACATGAGGCCATGAAGGTTTCTGCAGAAACATTCAGCTTCCACTCCCCTTCCCACTGGGACTAGGATTTCAAAACAGGAGATCTGCAGCACTTCTTGCAGCTAATCAGTATTATCAAGTTCAGAGAAGATCAATGGAGACGTAAACAGCATGAGCTACCAAGAATCAGAAAAGAGAACTAACTTGCCGAAATCCAGAAGAAACCTACAGAAGGCATTCCAAAACATAGTTTAATTCTGGCTCAAATTACATGCTGTGCCATGCATATCTATAAAAGCTAAATATTTACTGCACAAAATCATAAACTTGTACCTATCTCTTTTACCCCTCCCTGAACAGTCTAACCTGTGTGGTTAGAAGTCAGTGAAGCCAGAAGTGAAAAGTTTCAAAGTTCTGTTTGTAGCCAACAGTTCTTGAAGATCAAACATGTAACTACTACAAAAAAGCCACTTTCTTTGTGTTTTCACTAGGGATGGACTGGAACTGCTGGGAGAGTTTCAGTCCAAAGACAACTACCTCTTCTGACTGGAAGATGAATCTGCATTAAAAGTAAAGACATACCTAGAATGTCAAGAAAGCATGCATCTCAGAGCAAGCTGGTAAAATCTGCCCAGGAGCTAGCACTAAAGCTTCTCAGTTTTCTTTCACCAGATCTAGAACTGAACTTTGCATTTTCCTGCAATATGCTCTTCCTAGGAAGGAAAAGAGGCGTTATTTACCTCTCAGACAAAGGAAGAGACAGTAATTGAAATGCCACACTTCAGGGATGCCATAACACAATTTTGTGGGGTTTTCAGTGCAGCAGGTTTTGAACACAAACATTGCCAATTCCATTACATGAATGTACGTATAGAAAAACAATAGGAACATAGCAAAATATCAAATAAAAATATGCTTAATCCAGGTCATTTCACAGAGTACCTTAAAAATTTGTCTAAGGTAAAAAATCTTTCCATAAGGAAGTGACATTTTTTCAACCTTTTTCCAAATTCTTCAAATCTCTTCTGAGAAATTCTCAGTCTTCTAAATATTCTGCAGCCTAATATCAAAGTTCTATCCCAGTCCAGACGCCATCATTATTTACAGAAATGTTCTCATTCGTTTCACTGCAAACACCCTACTTTGACAGTGTGCTTGACAAAGTCAGACTTGGGAAAGACGCTGCAAAAGTAAAAGGCCTAGTAATGCTCCTTCTGTGTTGGCCATTACCCTTGGCATGCCGTTTCAAGATGACCAACTGACAACTGTTGGAGTGGTTAACTAGAAAGAATGGAACCCCTCCATCTATATAATAAAAAAAAGGATTGAAACTTGATTTACAGGCCAAACTTAGCAATACACAGATATCCTTAAAATTAAGTTTCAGGTGAATGCTACTTTTATTTCCCAGTGCCGAACTCCTTTATACTACTAACGCAGGAAACCATCAATTAATTTAGAATGAAAACCATAATATCAAAGTAACAAGGTAATCTAGACTGTAGCTTACTAAGAGCTACTCAAGTTAGAAAAAAACCCACCCCATACACTGCTCTTAATGAACGTCCTTCCTAGTCAAACTGATCTAATGCCTGTGCAATCCAATTAACATTAGGTCATTCTCTGGATGAGAACTAAACTATTCCTTTGGAATATGCAGTGCATTTCAAATGAGCTTGCAATGTCAAACATTGCCAGGACTATAAGAGGCTCTACAGACAGTATCCGTGACCCTTTGCAATTTCTGGTGAAGGGTGTTGCCTAGTCAATTAGTCTATAGGTAGTATGGAGCCTGAAATGATATTCTGCTATTTTTGAGCCATTAGTTTAAGCTCAATCACAAAAAACTGTGTAATTGAATTCTACATGCCATTTCCAAAATAAGTAAAAGGAAAAAAAACCCAAACCAGCTGAATTGGAGGCCAATTATCTTACTGTACGCAGGTCTGTGACTTTTTGGACAGCACTTGAATTTGGCTCTTTATAGTACTATAATGTTCAATTCACCTTAGTTTAGCTCTAGCTCCAAGCTGAATGATTATTCTGGAGCAAGCATTTACATCTTATTTGTTTGACTCTGCTGGAGTCAGGTTAGAGCACAGGTGGAAAGCAACTGGTTGTCTGGCCTAACTGCTCTACCCTTCTGGCTCATTCCAGTTAGCAGTCTGCACTACCTTCTCCTTTCAAAGGGATGGTTGACTTATACTGGAGTTAAAAAGGAAGAACAGCAAGAACAGAAGATACAACAACAGTGCACAATATTAGAATCCCTCTCTACTAAAAAGAGATTTGAAATGTATATAAAAATGTATACATTCATGTGACACGTGGCAGAAAAAACTACCCAGCTACAGCATTCTCTGTGCAAGCACCAATATTTCAAGCTGAAAACCATACTAGCTATTCCACGACTTGAGAGAAACTCTTCTGATCTTATTGCCCCTGACAAAATGAACAGCCTGTCTGAACATCAGCTGCTCAGATAGCCTTCAGGACAGGCAGAGGAGAAGTTGCACTCAAATTTCATTTGGTATCTAGTAATAGAAAGTCATAGCTAACAGTATGACTACAGAACAGGAGTTCAATGCCAAAGATTTTTGATTTTGCAATGTGGTTCCATTTTAAGATAGTACTGACCTCAGCAGCCATGGAATACAAGACATAAACAAATACTTCCTCATCCATCTCGAGTAAAATCAGCCAGGTCCATGCAGCCCAAAGGTGAATACCACATAAACCAAGAGACTTTGTCACTGGTAAAGTCACAAACAGATCAATAGGCAGGAACGACTATTTGAACACAGCAGACCCATCTACAACCAAAGCAAACTTGATCTGAGACAATTCTTGTGTACAACCAAAAGTGTTGAGAAACCAATCTCTGAAGGTTCACAGAAACCACAAAATAGCTTTGAGATTGTTTAATCCACCCCCCTTGCTTAAAGCAAGGTCAATTAGGGCAGGTTGCTCAGGGCCATGTCCAGTTGGGTTTCTACTGTCTCCAAGGATGGAGACTCCACAAACTCTCTGGACAACCTGCTCCAGCATTCAATCACCCTTACAGTAAAAGTGTGAAGCTTCCTGTATTTCAGTTTATGCCCGTTTCCTCTTGCCCTTTCACTGGGTGTCAATGAGAAGAGTCACACAGTCTGTCTTCTTTATTTCTTCATTATGTATTAAGATACACTGGTATCTCCCCAAACCTTCACTGATGCAGGCTAAACAGTCTTAGCTTGCTGAGCCTCTCTTCCTTCATGAGAGATGCTCTAGTTCCCGATCATCTTTTTGGTCCTTTGCTGGACTCATTCCAGTATGTGTATCTTACGCCCAATAGTGGGGAGCCCAGAACTGTACCCAGCACTCCAGACGTGTCTCACTAGTGCAAAGCAAACAGAAAGAATCATGTTCTTTGACCTGCTGACAACTCTTTCTAACACAGCCCAAGTATGTTAAATTTCTTTACCACAAGGATGTACTGCTGTGTCATATTTGGCTTGGTGTCCACCAGGACTGTGAGGTCCCTTTCCGTGAAACTGCTTTCCAGCTGGATGGCCCCCAAAGTGTACCAGTGCAAGGGGTTACTTCTGCCTAGTACAGGACTTGATACATCTCTTCCTTGAACTCCATGAGATTCCTGTTTGCCTATTTCAAAGAGCAACAAAGTACCTCTGAATGATGGCACAGTCATCAGCCACTCTGCCCAGTTTTGCAACATCTACAAAGTTGCCAAAGGTACACTCTGTCCTATCATCCAGGACATTGCTGAAGATGTTGAACAGTATTGGTTTTGTCTTAGTCTCTGCAGTACACCACTTACAACTAGCCTTCAACCGCTTTTCATGCTGCTGACCACAATCCTTTGAGCCCAGTAGTTCACAGAGGTTTCAGTCCATCTCACTGTTTGTTTATCTATGTTCTATCAGTTTGTCTATACACTTGACACTTTAAAATTGATTTGCAGAGTCAACCTGGCTATGGCAAGCATATGTTTCTATCTGTCTCTAATACAATGCCTAAGCCAATTTAGAATGGGAAACAACTGTGAAGGGCCCAGTGTAAGTTTATGGATAAGAGGGGGGAAAAATAGTCAGAACAACCTAAAAAAAAAAAAAAATGTTTCTCAGCATTAACAGAAAGAAGAATCTTTCATAGGAAGAAAAATTTGAGGAGAAATCATAAGCACCAGTTGAGATCAGAAGTTAGGAAGAAGAGGCAACAGTGACAATTGTTTCAGAAATAAAAGAAACAGTTTATACTTACCAAATTATCAGTTTCTGGATCCTCACAGAAAAAGGGTTTTCCTTCTTTCTCCTGCTTCCTTACGAAGTTTTCAATATCTACATCAAAACTAGCAGAAGTTGTGCCTTCTGAGCCTTGTGTAGACTGTTCACATTTTTCAAATAACAGTGCTAATAGGGGAAATAGTGGGTGCCTAGAATAAAAGTTAAAATACATGAATAAGTATTTTCACTTATGTGTACACCACTGAAAAGAAAGAGATCTAGCTCATGTAATGTACAGTCATTCGTGTAAGAAACAGAAAGACAAGTCTCAGAAGAGACCGCATAGAACACCACTAGCTATAGAAAAACATGATAAAAGTTTGGGTTGGTTGGTTGGTGGTTTTTTTTTTTTTTTCCATTTCGATTTAACTACACATTCTAGAGGCAAATAAAGCAGTAAAATATGAATACTTAAATAAAGAGAACAATCGCAAGCCAAGAAGATAAGACATAATATTTAATACACTATAATTGAGTGGCAAGAAATACATTAATACAGTTGATTAGAAATGAGGATTAGGATTTTAAACTAGGATGAATGTAGATCTAAATTATGAAATAAACCGACAAAAATAATTTATTCTTCAATGTTGGCCATACTTAAACATCACAAATAACTTTACAGCCTGGATACTATTCTTAGTACTGTAGTCAGAAGCCTCCTATGAAATCATGCTCAGAGCAAAAGATGATTTTTTTAGCACAAGTCTGAAAATGAGTGGATACATCTTCCTGCTTCAGGTTTTTAGTTAGGATTTTTTTTTTATGTGCAAACCATTAATACTCATGTCTTTATAAAGCACTTAAAGTGAGATAACACTTAACCTCATCAAAACTAAGCATATTGCTTAACACAGCAGTTAATATGGGAAATCTCAAATTAGTGTATTTATACTTCAACATTTAATCCAGTTTGAACTAATTACTGGGCAATAGATTGTTATCCCTAAAAAGAGTAAAGACTGACCTAATTACAACAACAACAAAAAAAAAATAATCTCACATGAAAGATTAAAACCTACAGGATAACAAATAGTGACCACAGTTCAAAAGTCTGAGTAGACTGCTAAATTTCACTTGTGCTTTAAAGGCAGCCACCCTTAGAATATCCTTTAAAACTATACCAAAACTGAACAAGCCCACAATAAAGGGAAGGTTTTTTTCTTGGCTGAAGACTCACAGTGAAGCGAATTTGATCTAATTCTTTCCCTGCAAACTACTGAGACAGCTAATTTATTAAAAAAGCTATTTATTAAAAAACTAAAAAACTCTTCTATTCTTTACCGTTCAAAAGACAGAACACAAGTCCATTACTACCTGTAAATGGCCTGTTTGTCTGCATCCATTGGAGTTTGAGATTCTACAGGGGCAGGACTCACCCCTTCTGCATCAGTATCTTGTTCAGTTTTTAATTCTGTTACTACTTGCATCTGTAGAAAAAGAGTAATTTGTAAGTAAGCCTGAATGCTTGATGCAAAATAAGTGTATTGTTTTCTAGCAAAATAGCAATGCAAAGGGCTACTACATCGTCAGAAGGTTGTTATGACTTGGCAGCTGCACAAAAAGCTGCAGTGGTAACAAAACCCCTCGTTTAATCCTTGACACTTTTTGATGGGAGGTTAAAGGTCACTTCAAGTTTCAACACTCAGCTTTAAAATGGGAATGACAGATATCAGTAAACTCTTAAGGCATTTGGCTCCAAAGTGGCTATCTTTGGAATACAGGCTACAGTACATTGTTCAAAAAGAATCATGGGGATGTCTGCATAAAAATCCTTTAGGATGAAAACAGCAGAAAGGTAAGTTTCTACTCTTTGTCTTTCTTTCTTATTTCTTACTGTACAACGTATCAGGATACTGAAGAAAAGAGATTCTGAAGTGTCCCTTGTCCATTAAAATGCATATTTTCTTACAAAGAACTGAAATATTCTGTGTATTCTGTGTCTCTCCAATCTTCAGAAGCATAACCTCCCCTGACCTTTACCACTTAAATTTACATATTGTAATTACCAATTATTTTGGGAATATCAAGTTACTGGAGAAGACAGCAGTAACTGCTTCTATAAATCCATTTAACAAGTTACACAATCTCCCACCACAGGAAAAACAACATAGAGCCACAGCTTCTACTGACTACCTCCAAAATTGCAGTACATGGCAGGTAATGCCTTTGAGGTACTTCGAACGTGTGATTTTTCTATCACCTCCAGTTAAGTATCTTTCAGACTAACAGGTCTTAAAGGAACCTGACCTATGAAAGTCATTGCCAACCCAGACTCCTTGGTTTTCTCCTATTGGAGCACTGGAAACATTTGTACAAAGATGTCCCCACAATCATTTTTTTACTTTAACCCTAGCAAGTTCTGTCTCAAGTAGAGGACAGACACTGTTACGGATATCACCAGGGAGACAGAATTGACACCTGCAAAAAGGAAATGTACAGAATGCAATCCTCTGGCCTCCTTCCCTATGAGATGGAATATGTATCACATCACTTACAGAAACCCTCCAGGAGGAGGGCTGGCCTCCAGAAACTATTAGAGAACCCGACTCCAGCAGAATTGAGAACCAAAAGGTGATGCCAAGCCATCACCTCACACAATCAGAAAATGAGAAAATGCCAGCATATCCTACCCAACAGAGCAGCTTGCCTTGCAAAGTGGTTCCTCATCAAGCATCGATAATTTCTAAGCCAGAATGCTTGCAAAAAAGATGCAACTAATGGACAAATTTCTTGGCTAATGACACAAAGGAGGAGCAAAATAAAGGGGATGACTCATACAAGCGATTATAAATGTTGAGCCATACATCTGCAGAGTTTGAAGGGAGACAGCATGTTCAATTAGAAGGAGGAAATAGCTCACTTAAAACTTCAATCTATTTTCTGTGGGCCATTTCCAAACTACAAAAGCAGCAGGCACCCAAATTACCTGCCCAGGTCACCCAGAGCTTAAAATACAAAACAAATAGAAACAAAATGCTCTCTACTAATCCATTCTTTACAAAAAGATTTATTACTTTCATTGACGTTTTGTCACAGGATGACAATGGGGAATAAAGTAAAAGATGTAAAGTAGGTGAGAAAAGAGAGAGAAATTAGAATTGCAATAAAAGAAGCAAACAACAACAAAAATCAATAATCCCAGATTGCATTCAGGTAAACACATTTTTATAAGACAGGGGAAAAGTTGCTTTTTTTTTTCTTCTGACTGTTCACCACTGTTGCCATCTGCTGACAGAAGTACTTGTATTTACTGCTTAAGGCTGACACATAGTAATGTAGAAAAGGGTCTTCAGCGTACAGGTCAATTCATTACTTGTCTCCAATTAATGGTGTTTCAATTTAGCAATTCAAATAGTTGCAATATACAGCTTGTTGTATAAAAAAGAAATAACATAGCAAGACATATTAGAGTATGTTTCCTTATTCTAGCTGTTTGTTAATATAACTAAGAAGCCCACTGACCAGATTCCTAATTAGCTATTGTTATCAGTAACTTCATTAAAATTAATTCAAGTATTTTACCAGTTTTCAGCCTGAAGCATAATTGCATCAATTTAAGTATAGTCAAAGTAGCATATAATTCTAGGTAACTAAATTTATCCTTCACTTGCTCAAGGCCAACAAATCTATGACTGCATCAATGTAATCTATGTATTGTAACCACAGACACATAAGAACACCAAAATGTCATATACAAAGTATTACAGATGCCCATTTGACTTTCCTAATAGGAACATTACAGCACACAAGTGATGTAGAGCAGATTTAGAAGAAAACTCCTTATCTAACCATTCTTCCACAAGTTAATCAAAGTCATGCAAAGATTAGCAAAGCTGTTAATAAGTATCCAAGTACTAAATAGCTGCTTATCACTTTAAAGATGTTGTTATACAAACAAGAAGAGATACTTAAAACAATGCCAAAGCAGGCATTAAGGAAGAAGTCACTACTTTCTTCTTGCTCACTGTATTTAGTTCATAGAGAAAGAAAACCACACCTACCTGTTGTCCATCTTGATAGTTGTCTATACTTAATGTCTGTGTTGCCATCATGGTTAATAATACGTGAATTATGTCAAATCATCATAAGTATGAACAAATATTCTAAAAAAAAAAAAAAAAAAAAAAAAAAAAGAAAAAAAAAAGAAAAAAAAAAGAAAAAGGAGAGCGCCAGTTATAAAAGTGACAACTTAGAATCCAGCTATAAAAAATAAAAATATAAAGGTTTCTGCACACCTCCCCCCAAAAATCTGTGAGTCTGACAATGATAGTTATGTATGTATTCTTCAGTGGCAGGGAGGGAAGATGGTGATCCAAGTTGGAAAATGCTTCAACATTTCACCAGCAAAAAGTTTCTTGTATAATTTTATATTTTAGCATAAGATTTTTAATAAGTGGCTGCAGTTCTTTTACAAACTTTTACAAATTCATTTTTGCGCTACTTACTTAACTTATTCTAAGGTAATACAGAAAAATCTAGGAAAGAGAAAAGATTTACATTTCTGTGTTTTGAGAAGACTAACAAGACATTGAGCATTATTGTAACTGAGATAATAATAGACTAAAAATGATGAACCAAATGTAAAAAGTATTAAGGAATACCTTATTTACTTATTGGAATCCCTATTCTAAAGTTAAGACCTGAAATTACTTTTAGAAACCAAAGTCTCAAATCCCTTCTAACATCAGCCATTTAAGGCTCAACAAAGAATGGAACAATATCTAACAACTTTTAAACAACTGGGCCTATGTAACTAAATAGTTTCAAAAGTGACTTAGGAATTCAGAAGTCCCATTTTCATAGACACTTGATACTTTGGGAAATACTATTTTTAATAGGATAACAAAAGTAATTTTATGCATGTTATTCTCTCTAAGCATTAGCTAGAGTTTGGTGCTCAAATAAGTTAAACACTTTTTTGAGTTAGACATTGAGTAATAAAAAAGAAATTAGCATAGCACATAGAGTTTATTCACCATATTACTAATTTACATTTCATTTTCTTGTCAGATTAGCAGCCACTACAACTGAAATCACCTCATTCAGTAAGATCTTACCATTAAATATTACCGCAGAACTCAATTTACCTTGACATGTAGGAGTCCTAATGTTTAGCTACTATAAAAAAATACTCATATTAAAAAAGAAGACAGAGCTCATGTCTTGAAAAAGATTACATCCAGGTATTAATTCCAGGTTTTCTGCTCTCTTCCACTTATGTCCGTATCAAAGAACTAAGTTTCAGAATTCTCAACAGTTTCAGATCTGAAACAAAACCTTTTTTCTTTGTAATGTGTTCAATCACTACAATTTTTTCAACTATTTTTAAACCTTTCCTTCACTACTGCATACTACTAAAGTACATGACCATTTTGAATAGCAGCGTTTACGTTTCTGGATATTTTCCCCCACAGATAATAGTCTCAAGTAAATGTTTCATTTAGGGAACACAAGAAATTTCAGGATCCTCTTTAACAGTTCCAAGCACAGAGACAAACCTAACTTCTTAGGACAAACCTCAAGCCTTGCTGTGCATCAAGTTCTACTCAAAGTGCAATTCCTAGGCGTTATTTATTTATTCATTCATAGATTTATAATTCTTTAATCAGCTTTGAAGATCAGAGAAGGTCACCAGGATGACGTAAACATGACTTTGTCTAAAAACGAGGTTATTGACTTTCACTCACTCATGTGTAAAATGGAGCTGTTACTCTTTGGGAGGCTATGCCCTTTTATACATGCAAAAGCATCTTGGGAACCACAAATATGAGCAGACAACAGATCTTGGTTCTGGCACTGGGTCATGTGCTTGCAGAGTTGAACAAGTTGCTATCTGCAGACAATGTGCACATAACATCTGAAGTAGTTTGTGGAATACTAGCTAAAAGGTATGCTACAGTTTGGGAACTCCTGTGCTAAAGTATACTTTTCTTAGGAATATGATTTACAGAGTGAAAGAGTAAAGACTGTGTTCAGAGTTTTCCTAACAGTGCTAAGGAAAGTATTTTCTGGTTCTAGTTTGTCTGTCTTTATGGAACATCAGTAGTTCTTTCTTCGAAACTCCAAAACCATTACTGATTTCTTCACAAAAAAGGAATGACATACATCCACTCACTGATAGAAGTACTTCAGATTTTTTGTTTTAAATATAGTTATGAATCATTTAATGTTAATTTTATCTTACTTGCTGTGGCAAATACTGATTTATCTTTCAAAATACTTTAAGGGGGTACATTGTGAAACATTAGCCCTGTAAGCATTTGGTTTACATTTAAACATTTATTTTCTTTCAAAAATGGTAGCTTGCAACCGGGGCATTAGCATCTTTCTACATGCATAGAATGAATGGGCGCATACAAAATGCTGCTTTTCTTCCTTCTTAAAAGCACGTATTTAATTTCTGTGATATCCAAAGGACAGATCAGACTACCCTCAAAATAAAAGCAGAAGAGATCAGCAGCAACAACAACAACAACAAAAAAAGTAAACACTATTTACACTATTTATAATTCTTTTAGAAGCTGAAGAACTTCCTTACAAAATGTGGGTAAAGCAATTGTTTGGCTGTGGGAGAAAGATGAAGTTCTTAGTCAGAATTGAGGAAATAAGAGGTAAAACAGTCATGGAAGAGAAAGAATGTCTTAAGACTTAGCAAGGATGCGAGATCACATTAGTGACACAAAAAGCAACAAAAAGAGGGAAGCAACAAAGGTAACACATGTAAATTGGTGAAGACAATAGGACATTGCAAGAATTGCTGGAGAATCTGACAAGCTGCATCAATCCTTCCTTACAGATTTCCATAAGGAAAAGACATCCCACATCTGGATGTCCCCCAGGCCACACAAAGAAAGAAAGAGCTAGAGCCATAGATTATTTCATCAAGAAGGACTTTTTGCCCTATTCTCACCCAGGGGAGCAGCTGAAAAGAATTCTACATGGATATATCCTTTATTTCCTGTAAAAGCTTAACCTCTGACTTATAATTACAGTAGAAGATTAAGCTATTAGGCAAGATAGCAACTGATGAGATTTAGTGAAGACAACTACTGCAAATCAAGAAGAACAAATTGAGCTAATCACATACTTAAATTGAGGCAATTAACTATGGAATTACTTTGGTTCACTAAAGAGAAACATCTCCTCATTACCCAGTAGTGGTAAGAAACAAACTACATTAAACTTTAGGAAAAATAACTGAAAAGGTATTTACACATTCGGCTTTTGTAACCTAATTCAGGCTATGGCACCCAGTTCTAGTTAACAGATACACAGCCTAAGCAGATGTTCATTCTGCAAGCAATGATGCTAGATGAAGCTGGTATCACTCCCAGATGTTTATCAGTGCCACCCTGCCAGAGCTAATTACTTCCACAGCTCTACCACTGTGCTCACAGAACATGTGAATCATTTCTGATCCGTTTTACACAAAGTCAGCTAGGCTAGTTCAACCCACTGTTAAAGGTGGCCGTGATGTAAACCAGCTGACTTTGAAGCATATTCCTGTGCACTTATACAACAGCTTTTGGCTGACCTATTAGTGTGGTAATTTCTGGCTCATGTGTGGCAATTATCAACTCACAGCAGGACCATCTTTAACCAGCACAGCTATACCCCATACTATATGGCCTACGGTATCTGAAGCAAGCCTAAGAACAATGATTTCTAGACAACTTAGCTTTAAAAATGCCAATTATTTTTTGTTAAAGAAATCGAGAGTAAACAAGAGTAGAAGGAAAACTGCATATGCGTTATAGTCAAAGAGTTACAAATAACAAAAATAACCCAAGGGTGAGAAAGTGAGCCAGCCTGGTTCATGCAGAACAGAATTAACTCCGATTCTATTTATTTTGAAAACAAAGTGTGAGGAAAACCCAAGGAAATGTTTAAGGTCACGTAAACTGGAAGCTGATGCACAAACTGCAAACAGAAACTCCACTGATATCTGTGGCAAAAAGGAATTCATAAAAGCATCGTGTTCTGCAAAACAAAGCAAAATGGAAAAAAAAATCAAGTCCTTAATAAAAATAATTATGATGGTAAAATGTAGAGTAGAAAGGAAGCTAAATTAAGAGGGATAATCGTAATTAGAAAAGTGGAGACTGTGCAAGTTACGGAGTATCAAAGAGAAGAGATTAACGGTGAGATGAAACACGTACACGAAGTGGTAACTTTAACATACATCACTCCTCACTTGCTCTACTTACTCCTTCATAATTAAGAGCGAAGGGACCACCCAGTAACGTTAACATAAGGTAAAAGCAAACTGTTGGAGTTCAGTAATATCATTTTTAACATATACAAGCTACAACAGATGTTTGTAAGAGATATAAATAGTTATGCTTCAGGGTATAAACTAACCACTAACTGTCTTCAGGTTGTGAAGAAACTACCTACCAGACTTGTTAATAAGCAATCGTTCCTTCTAATTTTCCCCTATACATGTTCCTTTGAAGTCCTTCAGAGAGAAATGGATGACTGGCAGATTCAGCTATTTGTTCATTCTTATGCATTTGTTCATTCATTGCTCTGTAACATACACCCTTATATTCACAGACAAAGTTAAAAAGATCAAAACAGTAAGCCTGTTTGACACATTAAAAGTATCTAGAACCGGCTTTGCTTCTTGCTTCCAGGTCACACTGCTTTTTTAATGGAGATAAAATACTGGCAGTAAGAAAGCTGCTCACCCCTTTCCTTCAATGGGTTGAAGACTACATTATCTTGTTCCAGTAGAGTGATCCCACTGATGTACAACGTAGAGGACAGAAACCTAAAAACCAACAGAGAAATATTCAGGAGACAACTACATAGCACATACTTTCTGAGACTGAATATGACCGAAGAAAGTATTTTGGTTTATTATCTCCAAGTTTAAACTGACAGGCCTTTTTTTTTAATTTTGTTCGTTTGTTTGCATGTTTTGCAAATTTGGAGGTTTTTTTGGGTTGGCT